TCGGCAATTACTTAGTTGCCAACCCAATATAAAGAGTGCGTAAAAGATGATTCTTCCACTGAAGTCTATTAATAGTTGCGGTAAACGTTATTCCAATTCTTATTTACAAATATAATGTTATTCTTTATTTAGATTTTAGGGAAAGTCGAATAATAAACAATTTCTGTTTATCTGTGGTTTGTTATGTATTATGCAATGGATATTTGTACAATAATTTCAAAATAAAAATAAAATGTTAGCTTTTGTTCGACTTCTGGTGAAAATCGAATGACAAATAATCGATAATAACAAGCCAAACTAAATGATAGTAATCTAGTCGTTGTACAGTAAACTAGTCGCTCTAACGTCTTCAAAAATTCATGTCATTTAGTCCACTTCCAAATAAGTCGAAGCTTTTTTAACGCTCACAGGACCATAAGGTTGCTAAGAGTAAATATTAGTATGTAACTGTTTATGTTAGTTTGTTTAGACGTAAAATATATAAAAATCATAAGAAAAATACATAACGATGTGTAGTTTCTTTGGAATTTTATTTTAGGCTTATTATGCAGTGTCTTTTAATTGTTGGTTTAATAATAATTTTATAATATAACATTTACGGATATCATAAAAACGGGAGTGAGAGACATCTATAACTGAAATCGGCAATTACTTAGTTGCCAACCCAATATTTTCAATGAATTCGTGTATTATTTTGCCGAGATTTGAAGAGAAACTTTATAACCTCACATGGCGATTATTTCGATTTTTCAGAATTATCCAAAAATGGCACTTCTCACGCTTCATTGGGGCCTGGACGGCATCATAATCTTTGCATCCCTTATCGTCGCTATGTACATGTACGCGACAAGGAAATTTAAATACTGGGCAAAGAAAGGCATCATGGAGATCAAGCCGACCCCATTCATCGGAAACTTCTCGGAGTGTTTTCGACTGAAAAAATCACCTTCAGATTTCGTGAAGCAACTGTACGATCGGTCCAAGGGATTACCTTACATGGGATTCTATGTGTTCGATAAACCGTTCTTCCTTATACGGGATCCCGAACTTGTGAAGCATGTGCTGGTGAAGGACTTCAACGTGTTCAATGACAGATACGCTTCGCCAGATGTGACCGACCGACTCGGATACGCGAACGTCTTCATGATGAAAAATCCAGGCTGGAAGGTGCTCAGGTCGAAATTGTCGCCGATCTTCACGTCCGGAAAGCTGAAGAAAATGTTCGATTTGATGCTCGTCGTCACCGATGATATGGATGTGTTTCTTGAGAAATCGAATTTGGGTCAGTACGAAGGGGTGTGCGGGTATTCGAAATGTCGGGTTTGCCATAAAAAAATAACCGGGTCGGGCCGAGACTCGAAACTTTCGGGTACTCGAAGCCATATTGAGTGCCGCAAACATTCGGGTACACGAAATTCCAAAATGGGATCGGGGGGATGCATGTTTAGACATCTCATTCGCTTTTCCTGATTGTGTATTGTCTGCCTCGGATACACAATAAATATCATATACAGGGTGTTCGATTTTAAGCTATTCTTTTCCCACAGAAATTAAATGGTTTCGAGGGGTTTACGAGATGACATAATTCATTTTTGTGTAAGCGCACGCTTACAGGTTAAGCGAAGGTCAATTCTGTTCTTTTAAACGGAATTACAAAATATTAAACACACTTATCGGTTCAGTCCATCGTTCCGAACAAAAAGATATTAGACCTCGCATGTCAAAAAATTAGTAGTTTACGAGATACTTAAGTATAAACATTGTAAAGTAATAATCGTATAGATGTTGACTGTTTTAATGTGACACTGACTTTGATGTATCATTTTTTACGCGACCTTACAATAT